AAAAAATAAAATTCAAATTTTGAAGTAATGGAATCTTGATAAAGGGTTAAATAAATTCTACCTGAAAACATGTTTACTGTCCTGGGCCAGACTTACCTTAGCAGTAATAGATAGCGGCTCGGATTGAGGAATCGGAGTTCGAATTCCAGTCGGATCCATTACATTCTAATGACATGCTAATACCCTTGGGAAAGGTATGAATCGTTTTCTTCTCCCCCAGCTATTGGTAAATAGATGGGTTCTGTAGCCTTGGTTAGCAACTGGTTTAGGAGAAAGTAATCTGAATTCAAACCAGCCTGGAGAAAGTTGGGCTCCGTCAGGCTATTTGTTCATGAAACACAACTTCTGTAGGGGCTCCGTTCTCGTTAATTAACCTATTTAAGGAGCCTTTCTCCTCTCCTCATTCTTGTTCATATTATTTATTTATTTAAACAGATATTCATTGGGTTCAAATGACTTTACAGTCACACAATCGGACCTGGTGAGAAAAGATTTTTCTATGAATAAGTTGCGCGACTAAAATACTCGAGATTTATTGCTCGAAAATACAGCGCGACTAAAACACTCACCAGCAGATGATGATAAGCATTTGTTGTTCGATCAATGAGTTAATTTCGTATCTCGTGTGATGAGTCTTCTGTTTCATATGTTTAAATAACAACGTGTCCAATGAAGGAATTTGAAACATTGATAATGTTGAAATTAACCGTTTTTATACAGGAAGCATTAGCCATTCATTGATCGAACAGTTAAGTTTACCGTCGGCTGAAATTTATAAAATCCCTTCTTCTTTTTTTTGTTATTAAAATGTTTTCTGGAAATTAGACTTCTCAAATCCACTGTTATCGCTCTTTCTAGTTCTAATGAGAGTTTCCTTCCTAACCTTTTGCTTAAGGTAGCGTGGAAATTCAACATATTGATTATATCATTATTTTCCCTTTTAGTTACATGAGATACCAATTTTAGTTGTTGTTGCTGTTAAAAATTGATGGGATTCATGATCATGACTTCGATGTGAACAAAAATGTATAGAAAAAAATATGGTAATGTGTTTCTTTGGAAAATCATAGCTACGAAGAACAGACAGGTTAATATATTTCCCAAGGGCTTAAAAAACAGTCTGAAGAAGGATGGGTTCCGTCAGAATATCTTGTCTTAGATAGATCGACTGTTGCTATAATTGCAGTACATGTTGTGACCCTATAACCTCAATGAGTTATGGTCATGGTAATGGTAAGATTAGCCGTTTCCACACAGGAAACTTTCGACTTTCAATGACCGAACAGTTTGCCTTGACATCGGTTGAAATTTATAAAACTTTTTTTCTTAAAACGTTTTTCATGTAAATAGACTTCATAAGTCCACTAAGTGTTATCGCTCTTTCTAGTACAGATGGAAGTTTCCTTTCTAATCGTTTGTTTAAACTAGTGTGGAAAGCAAACATCCTGAATGTTTTACGTGTGCTCCCCATTTTATTTGTTGTTTGTGTTTGATGCCTTCAAGTGATGTGTTTTTTGTTATTTCGTAAATCTCTTTGTCTGGGATTCTGAAGCGCCAATTTATAAGGTCTGATGAAGGATTATCTTAAGCCATGTTGAATCATTGATCCGAGAAACCGGTTGTATATGGATAATAGTTTCCAGTGGTTTCCAGACATTTTTTTTATCTAAGCCGCATTTTAGGAATTAAAATTTCTACGCGCCTCACTGAGTTTTATGTGATAAAAAGTACATTTAAATATTAGTAACAGAGAGATGGTTAAAGGGAGATAACTGCGGATTTAAAGTCAGAACATTATCATTGATAACTCTCTCCTCCAATTTGCGGACCTCGGTTACTATATTCTTAATAATTGGTATAACGCAAAAATATCACAATGATAAAATCGGCTAATAATTATTTATAACTATTTATACTAGGACTCATGCATGCAATTACATTAGTCCATAATAATATTTTAAATTTTGAAATCATATTTATTTTTGGCATATGGATTTTTTCAAACTGTTTCTAAATTTTTGATTATCTTTCAATTATTTCGCCTCACCTGCTATCCTTTTTCGCAGCACCGTTTAGGATGAACTGATTTAAAGGTTTTCGAACAAGTTGGACGCCATACCTGACATCCATATACCTCTATGAAAAGAAACTATCCCTACAAGTAATACCCCGTAATATAGAATTATACATACTATAGATTCGTATTTTGGATTAAATATTTGGGTAATGAAGCTACACAAAGATTACTAGATTTACAAGCAAATTCCACAACAGCACAGCACCAACAACCTTCTGAATGTTAAATCTGTACACTGAAAATTGATTGTTTTGTCTTGATTATAATAAAAAGTACATATATATCTTGGGTTTTATTAATTTATTTCAAGAAACGTGGTAGTTGAAATGATTTCAGGATTAATAACGCTCGGACAGTTTTTTAATAATCGATGTATCGATTATTAACGTCTTGTCAAATTAATTCCGGTGTTTAGCTCATCCTGTTACAGATAATAAAAAAAATTTTAACTGACGGCTGTTTCAAGAGGAAATAAAATGAATAATTTCATCGAAAGAATCTCTTGCTTAAGTACAATATGCTTTTCTGATGGTCATGTAACACGAGACAAATTCAAAGTATAGTTTTCCTCGATAACCAGATATTCCAGATTTAAAAACAAATATGGCGTTGATTCCTGTTCGTGAAAAATAACGATGAAGCAATGTTATGACCAAAAGCGAAAAGGATGGAATAAGTAAAAAAAGTATAGAACTTTTAAAAATGAAAATAGAACAAGATAACATACAGTTCTGCCACTCAGATCGATAATATCACACGTGAGAATTAGACAGTAAGCTACTGACAATGTGTAATGGTCCTAAGCGTAAGTGTTACCTATCTAAATATTGATCAGGTTCCAAGCTGCTTAACTTCAGTGACCACACGAGAACCGATGCTTTCAATGTAACTTCCCAATAAACCCATAGCAAAAATGATTATATTTAAAAACCATTTCTCTTTCTGGTTATATGAAATGAAATATATGAGAAAAAAATTTAAATTGACACCTTCTTGTTTTCATGTACGAGTTCTAATTTTTTAAAAAAAGTATCGGGATTATTGCTATGAGAACAGATTTGGTTTGGTTTGGTTTGGTTTGGTTTGGTTTGTTTTACGGCATATAAACCTCAATGGGTTATTTAATGCCGACAAAATTTTTATTGCTGGCAATTTTTTTTTCAGTAATATATTGCTGATGATATTTTTTCCTTCAAAACATCTATTTCTGGTAACATTTTATCTTCAAAAATATATTGCTGGTAATATATTTTTTTTTTCAAAAATGTATTGCTGGTAATATATTTTTTCAAAAATCTATTGCTTGTAATATTTTTTTTTAAATGTATTGCTGGTAATAATTTTTTCTTCAAAACTTTATTGCTGGTAATAATTTTTTGCAAAAATGTATTTCTGGTATTAACACCTATTTTTACACATTCATAGTGTATGTTGGAGTATTTCTGGGAGGTATATGTGTGAGGTATTTCTGGGAGGAATATGTGGGAGTTATTTCTGGGAGGAGTACGTGGGAGATATTTCTGGGAGGTATATGTGTGAGGTATGATTTAGTGTGTATGCGCGAGAAAGTTCAATGTCAATCTGTGTCAAACGGTTTCACTCTAGGTACTTCAGCTCCTTTCTCATAGCCGTCCTCGGTATGGCAATTAACTACATCCGCGTCCTGGGTAAGACGATAAACTACGTCCAACAGCGAGGCTTCTGATCAGGAGGTTTTGAGGAGCGTGGAAATGATTATATTAACGATGAAGCAAGGTTATGACCATATTCCTTCCAGAAATCCCTCCCACATATACCTCCCAGAAATACCTCCTACATATAACATTCTCGCTTACTCCCGTTGTTTATAGCCGTGTTTTGAAGGTAAGTGTGTAGAGTGTGGTCGTCTCACCACATCACAAAGGTTCCATCAGTGACCATGGCGTGTACAGCAGTTTTCAACCACGAACAACATTCTCCAGGCCCGGAAAACCACCATCTCAAGATCTCGCCCCTTGCCAAAAATCAAATCCCACTTGAAAGAAACAAAATTCAAAGAAATCTAAGAGAATGCAACGAGGCAGCTGCTCGCTATCCGCAAGAAGGAGTTTCAGGAATTCTTCCATCAATAGAAACAAGGCTGGATAAAGTGTGTGGCTTCAGAAGGGGACTACTTCGAAGTAGATTAAATAGTGAATTGATATGTATTGTAATTTTCTTTTTTTAGCATCAGTCGCGATACAATTTTACTTCAGTCAGTTATGTGCCATGCGTGATACATGCATGGCACATAACTTTCGATACATGACAGACGAGGCAGTTTTTTTTCCCGCAGTATGCTGCCATTTCTTTCTGCGGTAGACCAGTTGCCATCCAAGTTTATAAAACTCGGTCTGTCCGTAGCTGGGGGAAGAAGAAGAGGATTCATACCTTTCCCAAGGGTATTAGCACATAAGTGAATGTAGTGGATCAGACTGGAATTCGAATTCAAATCTCCGATTCCTCACTCCGAGCTGCACTTTACTTAAAGATCGTGTTTTCTTGATTTCGGATGAAAACTCAGAGAATTTCTCCTATATATATATATATATAAGAGGAATTTTCATTTTCTAAAATTATAGTTTATAATTATAGTTTGGTTATGTAGATAAAAAAAGCGTCAGTTTAAAATGACGCCTGGTGTATATGTGTTAAAAACGACAATGACAGTTTCTGATTATTTTAAATCTATAAATTGAACATTTCAATCTAGACTACGTCTGAGGCAAAACTCTTGAAACTAAATTTTATATAATTGTTTATTCTATTTATTTATTATAACGTGTGCGACAGAAATACTTCCCATATATACATCCCAGAAATACCCCCATATACCTCCCAGAAATACCTCCCACATATACCTTCCAGAAATAACTCCCACATATACCTTCCAGAAATACCTCCCATGTATACCTCCCAGAAATATCTCCCACGTATTCCTCCCAGAAATAACTCCCACATCTACCTCCCAGAAATACCTCACACATATACCCCCCAGAAATACCTCCCACGTATACCTCCCAGAAATATCTCCCACGTATTCCTCCCAGAAATAACTACCACATATTCCTCCCAGAAATACCTCACACATACACCTCCCAGAAATACCTCCAACATACACCTCTCAGAAATACCTCCAACATGTACTTCCTAAAAATACCTCCGAAATATACCTCCCAGAAATACCTCTCAAAAATACCTCCCTGAAACACCTCCCACATAATGGTAAGATATTAGTTGCAATGGTGACTTTTATCAAACAGATTCTCTTAACATCATGTGGAAGGTATTTCTGAGAGGTATATATGGGAGATATTTCTGGGGTGTATATGTGGGAGGTATTTCTGCCGTACCCTGTATAATATTCAATTATGCAGTCAGTTTCTTCTGGCTTCTAATAAAGTTCTCTAATCCGTTTCCTCCTCCGGCCTTCAAAGTAGCGTAAATAAACAATCCAACAACACGTACCTCATGTTCGCCACAGTACCCGCACTTCTCTCTGACGCCTCTTTAAGCACTTTTTATAGATTGTGTGACAGTTAATATTTGCATATGTTAAATAAGATTCTCGCGAAAGTCTATTCGACTCCGAGCTCTGTTTTAAATATACGAATCGGAAAGTTGCCATTTCCTTTTTTGTAATATTTTACATGTGAGATACGTCCGAATCCGTCCCGGAGGTAAGACTAGTGTTTAAATTTATATATATATATATATATATATATATATATATATATATATATATATATATATATATAAAGAAAGAACAGTAAGATATATAATCCGGTGTTCTTATAGATATTTTTATTTTTACAAAATAGTGCTCAATATAAATTTACAGAGCATTAATATTATAAATTAATTGATTTAAAATATGTTTTTTTCGTTATACAGTTCTTACCATGTTTCAAAAATGGAAGCTAAAAGCTACAAATTTAATTTTGTAATTAAATTAAAGACATTAGTTCCATTTCATTCTCAAGCGAATTTTTGGAATAACTTATTTTTAAAATTACTGGGTTTTAAAGGCACTGCAAAAATTCATAATTCACGTTTCCAAGGATACAGAGAAATCCATTCATCCAGACAAGGGGTGGTTGCGTGTTCATTGTCGCTGTATTTCGTTGTATCAGTTATTAGTTACGTTTTGTCAGAGGTAGGGTGTATTTTTCAATGAATTCTGACATCCGTTAAATGCATGTCGTCTGGATTTTTTAAAAAATTATTGTTAACGGCAAAAATTCTTACGGCATTTTTTTCTATTTGTATACAAAGATTTTTGGAGGGTGTTCAGGTTAGAATACGTTTTATTTAACTACGATTTTTAAAATATTTTCACTTTTAATTTTTAATATACTATATTTCTTTTTAAAAACAAGTAAATGTATTAGAATTACTTACAGTATGTAAAATTATTTTCACATCAAGTATAAGTATGTATATTACCAGGTCACAATTTTTTAGAAATTTATATTTAAATATTATTTAAGTAAAACTTATGACAATGACGACAAAAATAGCTAATTCATTTCTCTGATTTAGTAGACTTTTATTTTTTATATTTTATATAAACCTAGTAATATATAGTTTCTCATGTAAGTACAAATGACATGGGTCATTCAATGGCTTACATCTTCTAGCTTTTCATATTAATTTCATTTTACTGTAGGTGTTTTATTGGATTCTTTTAAGTGCTTGTAGTACTTTGAGAGAGGTGTTTAGGTTAGAATACGTTTTATTTAACCATTATTATATATATATATATATATATATATATATATATATATATATATTAATTGTGTTTATGCATTATTTTTATGGATATAACTTGAATAAAAGCTCTGTTTTAATTAAAATGTATCCAAGATCCAAAAATGACCTGGATACATCCTACAGATATGAATTCGATGTAGTCAAGGCTCGCCAAGTACAAAAATTAAACAGATTGAAAGATGAGAAGGTGACGCACAAGGTCCATCACCCACTAATGAAAGCAGTAATCACCATCACCCAACATCAGCTGAGTTCCTCTGTAGAATCAGTATTAAATAAGGGTCTCAACTTCGCCACAACCATCAGGCGAGTAACATACTTGGACATCATTGCCAGAATCGAGGGGGTGGCTTTGAACTTCCCTCAGGCTCGGGTGGATGAACTGAGATGGAAGGTGAGACACGACCTCGGAGAATGCCAAGCTTCCCAAGTCAAACATCACGAAACTGGAGAGACTGGCGATCAGATCCCTGCAGAGGAATGAAAACATCATCATACTACCGGCTGACAAAGGCAATGCAATTGTAGTGGTGGACAAATCATATTATACAAGAAAGCTGGAAGACCTCATTAGAAATGGTAGCTACAGCAAAGTAAAAAAGGATCGTACAATGAAAATGGAACGCAAATTGTCACAGATACTAATCAAGAACAAGGATCACTTCACACATAAGATGTATAGGCAGTTGTCGCAGCATTACACCAAGCTACCTCAAATATATGGTCTCTCTAAGATTCACAAAGACGTTATTCCACTCCGGCTGATTGGTAGTTGCCAAGGCTCTGTGTGCCACCCTCTGAGTCGCTTCCTTGAAGATATAATCGACCCATTGATCAGAAAGTCACCTTCATATGTTCGAAACTCCGCCCACTTTGTGGAAATAATCAAAGATGCCCCCATCCTATTCAACCAGATGGTGAGCTTGGACGCGGTGAGTTTGTTCACCATGTTACCCACGGAGGAGGCACTCTCAGTAGTCAGAGACAGCTTGGCCCCTGACTCTTCCCTAGAAGAAAGGACCAGTATTCCAATAGATAATCTGATGGAGATGTTGACTTTCTGTACACAAACAACACTTCGGAATAGGGTTACACATATATCGACAGGATGAGGGCCTAGCAATGGCGAATATATACATGGAATACTTTGAGGAAATGGCATTAGAATCTATATCTCTAAAGCCAACTCTATCGTTAAGGTCCGTAGATGTCACCTTCATACTCTGGCCACACCAGGAAGATGTTCAGGTTCTACTGGACCATGTGAACTCAATAAAACCTTCGATACAGTTCACAACGGAGAAAGAGAGTAACAACACACTCCCATTCATGGATGTTGTAATATCTCGAACAGAGCATGGGTTTAAGACATCCGTATACCGTAAACCGACATTCACCGGACAGTACCTCAATTTCAACTCCCACCATCCATACAGCTTAAAGAAAGGGATCGTCCGCTGCTTACAACACCGAGCAAAAGTCATAAGTGGTGACCCAGAGACATTACATAAAGAATTGGTCAGTATAAGTAGTACCCTACAACGTAAAAACTACATTGGGCAGCCGCAATAAACTAGGATAGGCGGGTACACGAAGAGAACAACAACAGTCTGCCTGAGTTATGTAAAGGGGTTATCAGAGAAAATACAAAGGATCTGCGGTTCATATAACTTCAGGACAACCTTCAAAAGCTGGACGACACTTCGCAGATATTCCTCCCGATTAAGACCCCCCCATAGAAAAGAACATGACTAAAGACTGTGTGTACGCTATCCGGCGCAGCTGCGGAAAGAAATATAAAAGGGAGACAGGCCGCCCCCTTAAGGTAAGGTTTCAAGAACATCAGAAAGCTGTAACACGAGGGGAAGTGGAAAAATCAGGCTTGGCTGACCACATATGGAGAGAAAAGGGATCAGGTTGAAATCATAGACAAAGAACATCATTGGAAAATTCGTAAACTTAAGGCATCAGCGCATATACTAGGCCACAAAAATCTCCTGAGCCGACCAAGCATAGAAATGAATACAATGTGGGAACCAGTAATAAGGAGTGCTAGAGAAAAGCAATAACAACAAAAATTACAATATGAGCTCTGGTAAAAAAGAAAATGCAATAATAACAGCAAAAATTGCAATATGAGCACTAGTAAAAATGGTTGCTGAAGACTTTAGGTTTATAATACCCAGAAATTCATACACAGACGTCCTCAAGGACACATGGCACAGTGGATAAAGGCGTTAGTTAGATCCAGTGACAGGACCCAAAGAGTGTGACTTCAATACCTGGTTAAGGCGGTGGAGAACTTGGAGAGGGGAATTAACAGGAGATAACTGATAACTAACATCCATTAGATAGACATGGCACGTGGAACTAGAACAGTCTACCCCAGCGAGCGAAATAAAGGGTTCAGTTCACATTCCAACCACCTGAAGAAGGCCGGAGCGTACAACGACCGAAACGTTATGATAAATATGGCAACAAATATGGGGAAAATAGGCTGAATAATGTAAATAGTAAACTGTATTAATTGCAGGATTTCTAGAATATTCAGGCCGGTAAATTTATTTCATTTTATCTTATAATTAAGAAGCTTGCATTATTTATAAATAAAATGGAATATGTTTTTCAAATCTGCGTTATTATATTGAATCAATTGCTAATTCTGCTGCTAGAAACGTTCGTTCACTATGTCGTGCGAGATTTGACTCGCCAGAATCTATTTTATATGTTTTATTTTTATAATTCTACCATCCGCCAAGCATTGGTAATTGCTGCTGCATCTGGTCTACTGCTACTGCTATATATATATACAGAGATTCTTGATAAAATCCAAAAAAAGAATCTGCAATGTTATTGGTTCTGACCTGGCATCTCAGCTTCAGTCACTTTCCCACCGCCGTAACGTAACTTCCCTGTGCTTTTTCTATAAATATTTTCAGAGTAATTGTTCTGCTTTGCACTTTGCTATCTAGACGTAGATTGGCGGCAAGTTCTCATTCTTTTAAAGCTGAAATGGATAAATGTAACCGTAAGTTCTATGCTAACAGTTTTTTCTCTCGCACATCTCGCTTGTGGACCTCCCTTCCAGTTTCTTGCTTTCCAGTCAACTTTGATCTTTAAAACTTTAAATGAAATGCTAATTGTTATCGTTTGTTTTCGTAATCCATGTTCCTTTATTGTTCTCTCTACTTAATTTTTTTTAGTTTACTCATCTTCTCTCCCATTAAGTAACCCTGAGTGACTCAGGGGCTTTATTGCCTTGCTTGGGGTTAAATTATTAAAAATAAATGTCACTATTTTATAGAATTTAATCGACCATAAAACAGAAATTACTTATTTTTTTATTTTGTCTTCACGGAGTTGGAAACCGAAATAAATTCTAGGAAATATTCCAAATACCAAATTATTTACTGCAGAATAACATGTAAAAAACGAAAATTTATTTTAAAAAGCTCTTTTCTGCCTTTTTCTCTCTGTCTGTCTGTCTGTCTCTTTCTCTCTCTCTCTCTCTCTCTCTCTCTCTATCTATCTATCTATCTATCTATCTTTCTCGCTTTCGTTTTATTCTACTTTTCCTCTTCCTATCTCCGGATGTGCAGGTGATGTAAAGGATAATGGTTCGGGATGAGAAATCGGAGTGATGTGTTCGAATACAGTCGAGTTAGTTGCGTTCACTTACTTGCATTGAACTCATACTTTGAGAAAGATATGAGTCTAACCCTTCTCCCCAACTATGGGCTAAATAGTAGGGAGTGTATCTAGAAAAATCGGGGGTTATCTTAATAAAATGTTAATGCTATATACAATCGCAAAAAGAAAAATTATTCTTACAATTCCAAATGTGATGATAAGCCGTAAAAAGCAAATTAATTTTATCTCTCCCTAAAGACTTACAATATTATGATGTTTTAAAAATTTTAAAGAAAAATAGAAAAAAAAAAGCTTCAATTAATGAAAGCTAATGACTCATAAAATTCATTAATATATGAATTATTCCTATTTTTCTATTCAACCCGATCCATTAAGCTGTCTTTGATTAATGCCTCGGTTTAAGCAGGATGAGATTATCCATAAATTTCAATAGTCCATGTCAAATGATATTAGCTTCTTAACGAATGAAATCTAAATCTAAAAAATATAGTCATATTCCAGCCTTTCAAAGTCTGGGTTGAGTTTAAGTCACAATAGGTGCTCAAGGCACGAGACCTCCGCACGAGACCTCCCCACGAGAACACCCACTCATCGCTATTGCTCAATAATGAGGTTACCAAGCAAGCTGTCTTTTTGTAGAACAAGCTGTAAGTTCTACAGCGGCCATAGTGCTTCTCCGCGCAAGCAGATTTCAACCCGTAATAGGACCTCTATCAAAAAAGGCAGCAGTTTTCACAATTGCCAGTAGTTTCTGGTTCTCCGTGCTAGAGGATTTCAACTCTGAGAATGATGATAATGCCGCTGGTGGTCTGCATAACTATCACAAATATGAGGCCACAAGTCGGACTCCACCCATCAATCTCGCAGCATAGAATGTGAGAAACTTACTGGATGTAAGCAAACCCACCAACATCCGAAAACAATCAACTACACCTTTTAATACTATTTTTTTTCGATTTAATACTCAGAAATGAATAAAAACAAAAGGAAAATGTATTTTACCCGACGCATTTCGCCCTCTGAGAGACATTATCAAGGCAAACATAAGGATTTTATTTACTGACAAGTATTTATATATAAGAGCAAACATTTTGTTGGTTTTTCAAAATGTTTAGGTATAGGATAGCGCATAAATATTCAACAGGCATGAGGTGATACAATTCAATCTAATAAACAAAAGTGATTACACGAATTTATATTTTTATATATATATATATATATATATATATATATATATATATATATATATATATATGCAATAAATCTGTTTTTACAGATATAGTTTAGCTTGTCCGGGAAACGGTTATATTTTTTAAAAACCACAATTCAAAAATCAAAAATGTAGAGCAAGTCTTCATTGGTAGAAAAGGTTAGAGTTTGTAATATTTTTGATCTTATATATATATATATATATATATATATATATATATATATATATATATATATATATATATAATATTAAAATCTTATAAGTATAAGAAACTATACTGCTCGAAAAACCTTCGGTGTATTGATTTGCAAATAAGCAATCCAATACCAAAGGGAAAAAAAGGTATAAAAAAGAAAGAACCAAGAACATGTAACTTCTAGCCGAAAATAATCGTCCAGCATACGAGTTCAAGACCCAAAGAAAAAAAACCTGATGCGAGTACCCAAAATAACTATAAAAAAAAGTTCTCAATACAATGAGAATAGCCAGCCTTCCCTGACGATCCGCTTAGTTGAAACCTTGGTAGGTTTGTCTGGCTCTCTAGGTTTTATATATATATATATATATATATATATATATATATATATATATATATATGTGTGTATATATATATATATATATATATATATATATATATATATATATATATATATATATATATATATATATATATATATATCTGTATATATATATATCCTACACTTACGCACATCCACGTAGAGGGGTGCACAGGCACGCGCGCGAACGTACACACGCACTATGAAAAAACTTGCACCAATGATAAGTGCATATTAAAAAAGAAAGCTCGAGAAGTATAAGCAGCCAATTGCCGAGTAGACGGACGGGTCCATCTACGATACTGTGGGGTCGGTGTGGTGAAGGTGACATCAATCAGCTAAGCGACAAACCTTTTATTTATATTAATTCTATATAGATAGATAGTTAGATAATATCAAATCCGTAAACCGAAAGGATAATCCAAGTGGTTCTCTTTAATATAAACCATTAAAAAGAAAGATCCGTAGAGAGTTTTATTTATAGACTACAGAGCAATATGACATACATCAAGGAAAACTTTTTTACATCACGAAAATACGGTAATAAATCATGATTTATTTAGACCAGTAAGTCTCATCAGACTGAAGATGTAACATCAGTATTTAAATTATTTGAGATTGGGGTTGATTTGTGTTATATGTTTTGAATAATATGTGGTTATGCATTTAACCGTTTTCTTTTAATTTTATAATTAGAAATGATCATATCATAAAAGTTACGTCTACTGAAACCATGAAAACCTATTCCCATCGACACATGTGTAAATAATATTCTATAAATTTTTTTATTCTCATTTACCTGAACCTTTACATGATCCCTGCTTCAAAATCGCAAACAGTCATAAGATTATGCACATGCCTAATCACCCTTAACTATCTAAACGAAAACCTTTTAAGTTTATCTTTACAATTACTTACTTGGGACAATTCGACCTGTTAATGACGTCATACCAATAAATGTGTACAAATAAAATATCAACAGATTTATATCTAATTAAGCACTTATGAAAAATGCTAGCATAACAGAACACTTGAAGTACTTCATATTTGTGTTTTCAAAATCACACCAGATATTAGGATATGTGCTGATGCAGATCATAACAGGGTAGCGACCCTAGTTGAATGTTAATAGTGCATGGAAAGTGGTTAGTGACTTGAGGTATTGAGAGATTTAATAATTCTGAACGAAGTAGCAGAGATATTAGAAGGAGAAAAATATGGATGAATGGTTAATCGGATTGGCATCTGATGGCAAAAGTCCTGTTTAAAAATATCCATTTAAGCCCAATACTTATAAGGAGGGCCTCGGTAGAGTTTGAACTCAAATTAAATTAAGTAAGATTTAGTATGATTCAGCATAACCCCAGCTAAACTTATAACCTCACGGAAGTTTGCATGACATGACTAATGAGTTTGCCAAAAGTACACAGGATTTTTGATAACTGTTGGGTTTGTTTGTTTGTTTAGCAATCTATCAGGTATATTCAAACTGATTACAATGAAAATTTTGGTAACTTAGAAATCCAGGAGAAAATTGAAAAATACTTTATACTATCTGGGTTATTGAACAAGGAGGCTCTTTGCCATAAAAACTAATTAATCATGGCCATTCCGGGTCGAAGTCTATATATACGAAGTACGCACGCGCAGAAAAGAGATTTATCCAGAGATCGTTAGTGCGCATGCCTCAAAGTCAAACTCTCGCACAGAAAACTGGCAACCCCAACTATGCCCACGAAAATTAAAAAATATGCCCTTGAAGGAATTCACTACTAAGACGTTAGAATTTCCGCGTTTCTTAACAAATAGACGTATCTCAATGCTTCATGGATAGAAAAGGAATGATTGACACGAAAAACGCCATAGACGTTGTAGGAATTTTAAATTTTAAATTTCCCCTTTAAATAACTTGTTGATAATTTTTCAAAAGCGCCGTTTCTTCTGTTGGCACGTTTACACATTTTTCAGCAAGATCGGCCGACCTTGAAGAAACAGTATTATCGAAATATCATCCTCGATTAACAAAATCCACGGCCTGTCATTTCTGGCAGATACACAACGAACGAAATCTACTAGACGACATGAATTCCGATGAAGAAAACGAACCAGCAAAATTGATTACAACGAATGCACGACACCTTCTCCGAAGTGTAGCCACACACACACACACACACACACACACACACACACACACACACACACACACACACACACCCTTTGGTATGATATTCAAAACCAAGTGTGTATTTAGTGACCAGTATCAATACGGGTCATGTCTGCTGGTTACAGCCAGGTGTCAAGTTATAAGGATAAACTGATTCTGTCTGCTCACTGGCCAACAAATTTTTTTTAGCATATTAGGTGAGACTGTTTCTGTGGTATATTAGGGTCGTTGAATTCGAGGAGATCATTGGTTTTGTCTGGCTGTAGTTTTTTAAGATATTGCTGAAATGCGTTTTTGTGGGGGGGTCCGCGAATTTGTATACAATGATACTAATTGAATTACTGTGTTACTGGTGCATGAATATTTCAACAAAACCACATTTATTATTCTATTTAGGCTATTAATTGGTAATCAAATGATGTTGAATAAACGTATCACTTTTATTTAAGTTTTCTGATTGTATATGAATAATTAAAATGTTATATTTACATACAGCATGCTACTATTTTAACAATGAACAAAGAAGAGCCACAATATTTTCCAGCGGCCTCCTCATTTATTACAAGAGATTAATGAAAAATTATAAATCAAATCAAATTTCACACCAAAAATTAAGCTAGCAAAATATGTAATTTAAGCTATTCAACATAATATATTATAATATCGCAAGCTGTCCAGATCATTGTACTTTATTTCTTCTGAAGTAAGACTCTCTTATAAGACTTCATTTTATGAGTTTTCTGTGTGCAATCGCACATAAGTCTCCAGCAGTAATTGTATATCAGGTGAGCATTCAATCGCTCCTCCATAGTCTTGATGTCTTTGGTGGAAATGTTCTCTGTTCTTCGCTTACATCACCAAGGTTTTCAGGGAACTTGTCTAAATGACTAGACAGGGAGTGGATTTAGATACTCATTCTTGTTCCAAGAGCTTGACTAACTTCTGGTAGTTACCCGCTTTCTTTTTTGCTCAAGAAGCCTATCACAACTGCGGCAAAAAAAAGTCCACGTAGCAGCCTCAGTCTCACTGATGTGGGAGACAAAACGTTTATCGTTAATCAGTTTTCTTATTTGTGTCCCAACAGAAATTCCTGCCTTCAATTTCTCAGACTAGGAAATTCTGAGCAAATATAACTGAAGCGAGCGCCATCTTGATCTAATGCCTTGACAAATTGTTTCATTAGGCCCAACCTGATGTGTAGTGAAGTCAGGATGATACTATCACGCTTAGCCGGCGGATCATTTATGACATTTTCCGTCCCCACAAGCACTTTACGAATCCTTCTTTTTCTAGATTGTTGACACTGCTGTCCAATAGACCAAGGAAACATTGATACTTGGTAAAACCACCTTGCTTAACCAATTTAAAATCCACACATATCATCCATTTATGTTCATCATAACACAATTTTTGTAGAACAATCTTTACACTCTTGTAATGCTCCGTCAAGATCACTAAATGGCCAATTGAGATACAAGCAAGCTTGCCACCATTGTGCAACAATACTGTCATAACTCACTCCAAGCGGTTATAATATTATGTCTCGAATGATTCCAAAGGAACTCTTCTGAGCTCTTTATTTAAGGCATCTTGCCTAGTTCATTTGTGTTGCCGCGGTGTCCTATTTACTCCACAATATCTTCACATTTGATTTTTTTCATTAGTAAATATTTTATTTTATTTCTTAGTATTCACCCCCTCCCCTTTCTGGCGAGTTCGCCACATACCAAACTTTGTATTTCTTTCAGGGTAACTGGTAGTTCGCGTACTACATTGCATAATATATTTTTAATTTCTATTTCACTTTTTAATGCTGCAGTGTCCTCAAGCGTTTCAGTATTTTTTCGTATCAATCCTGATAAACCATCAGCATGTCACAATTTTTTGGACGGTTGGTATTCCATCCTGAAATCATAATTTAATAAGATCGTAATCTATTTG